TTTCAGTCCTTCACGGCGTAATGTGTTACCAATTTTATTTTGTGGCACTATGGTCTGTGTATCACTTTTCCACATTAATAAAATTGAAGATACTTGGAGTGCCTGGATCCTTTTTCTACCACTGATACTTATTGTTCAAAGTCTTCAGCACTCATACAGTTAGTCCTTGACCATAAATACTGACACTGGTTTAACTCATTTAAGCGAGAATGTTTAGAAACTGTCCCATCTAAGTAGGTTGTTGGAAGAGGTAGATTTATCATGTTAATATAGTTAATGTGTAAGGATATTATAGAACAGGAGACAATACATTCTAAATTAACCCCTTAAGGACTGGACTGTTTTTGCGATGTTGTACATTTGCGACCAGGCATATTTTTACACTTTTGTGGTGTTTGTGTTTGGCTGGAATTTTCCGCTCTCTCATTTACTGTTCCCATACAAATTATATATTGTTTTTTTCAGGACAAAAGGGGCTTTCTTTACATACCATTATTTATATAATCTCATGTATTTTAATTTTAAAAAAATAAAAAAATATGATGAAAAATTGAAAAAAATACATGTTTTTTGACTTTTACTTGAAAAATCTTTTACTCATCTACAAAAGCGAATTAAAAAAACTGCTAAATAGATTCAAAATTTTGTCCTGAGTTTAAAAATACCCCGTGTTTATGTGCTTTTTTGCTTTTTTTTTGCATGTTATAGGGCTATAGGTACAAGTAGAATATTGCGGTTTCAAAACATAATTTTTTAAATTTATCAATAGTGACATTGTAACACTATTATCTGTCATAAATCTCTGAATAACACCCCACATGTACATATTTTTTTTAAAGTAGACAACCCAGGGTATTCAATATGGGGTATGTCCAGTCTTTTTTAGTAGCCACTTAGTCGAAAACACTGGCCAAAGTAAGCATTCATATTTGTTTGTGTGTGAAAAAAGTAAAAAAACTAAATTGAACGCTAATTTTGGCCAGTGTTTGTGACCAAGTGGTTACTAAAAAGACTGGACATACCCCATTTGCAATACCTTGGGTTGTCTTCTTTTGCAAATGGTATGCCATCATGGGGGTAATTCTCATTCCTGGGCTACCATACGCTCTCAAAGGCAACGTAACCAACCTGGCCATTTTCAATGTAAAAATATTTGACCTATATATTTGACCTTGTAACTTTCAAAAATGCTATAAAACCTGTACATGGGGGGTACTGTTTTACTCGGGAGACATCGCTGAACACAAATATTAGTGTTTAAAAACTGGAAAACGTATCACAACAATTATATCATCAGTAAAAGTGCTGTTTGTGTGTGAAAAATGCAAAAAAGTCACTTTCACTGACAATATCATCGCTGTGATATGTTTTACTGTTTTGGAATTACCAATATTTGTGTTCAGCGCAGTTTCGAGTAAAACAAAATTTCTATGTGCTGTGTTTTAGGTGTCGTAGAACGT